AGCTAGCCGGACTGGCCTAAGGGGTATTTTAATTTGGTTTTTAAAATAATTTTAAAAAGAAACGGCCAATAATGAATATTTCATTTTAATCATATTTTAAAATTAGTATTATTGTATTAGTTATCTGTTTTAACTGGCTGTAAGCCGCCCTGAGTCCGTTAGGAGAAGGGCGGGGTATAAATTTGATAAATAATAATAAATAATAAAAAATAAAATAATAATAATAATTAGACAACCAATGTCCAATTATTGGTTGCCCAACCAATTAAAATGGTCTGGAATGGTATAGGGTTTCCTGCTTGAGCAAGAGGGTGGACTAGAAGACCTCCAAAGTCCCTTCCAACTCTGTTATTCTGTTATTAAGAGTTGCCTACCTGACAGGGATAGGGATAGAGGTTGAGGAGACATTCTGCATCACTGGAATTCAAAATAGAGTTCAAGCTCTTGCAGGATAATAGGCTTTACATTTTCAGGAAAGAAGAAACAGGAACCCTGAAGGACATGAGCAGATGCACCCTTCAAGAAGTTAACATAAGAGCTGCAGTACTTAATTATTCACTCTACAAGCAATTAAAACAAATGTGTGCTGGGGGGACTGATTGACTTATGAAGTGTCCTGTCTGCCAATTGCAAAACTCAGGGATGTAAGAAGACAACTTCCAACATCTCCACTGAAATGTTTATTGTCTGCTAATCCATGTATGCCAAATGATGTCATTTTCCCTCTCCAATATCTTATGTCAAGGGCACTGATGCCCTTCGTTGCACAAGGCAAATGTTGTAACATAGACTGAAGCCTTCCGAATGCCAATTCTATCTCTTTGTGCTTTAAATGGATTGTTCACTTAAATATTAAACAGTACATGTTAACAAAAAAAAAAAAGATACAGCAGGTTCAAAACAATGTGCTGCCCTCTCTTGGCCACCTACCTCTGTCTTAAAGCAACTCTCCTCAAACTCTTGTTGAAGACTGGCAGAAGCATCCTTTGAAGATGATCCACTTTTCTTGTTGTACAAAAGAGGAAAATCTATGAAAGGACAATGAGTTGTTCAGTTAAAACGTGAGCATTTCTACTAAGTATGCTTAGCCTAAAGAAGAGAAAGCTAGCAGGAGTCATGATAGCAGCCTTCTAAGACTTGAAGAGTTGTCAGAAGGATGAGATTATGGATTTATTCTTCAGGGATCCCTAAATGAAATAGATGGCTGGAAGATTTACAGGAGATTTCATTCAAAAGAAGGAAGAATCTCCCAAATGTGAGAATTGTTAAATAGTGGAACAGTCATAGATGCTTCATTGCCAAGGTTTTAAGCAAAGAGTGGATGTTTGTCTTGAAAAGGATGAGAATACCTATCTTGGGCAATGGGTTGCACTAGAAGACCTCTAGTTCTTCTGGATTGAAAAGATTGAATGGTGACATCACCGTTGCCTGCGTGATGCCCAATTGGGGGCTCCTTTCATGTTCCTATTAAGTTGCCCATGGAAGTGGTACCCATTTATCTACTTGCGATCATCCACTTTCAAACTGCTGGATTGGCAGGAGGTGGCAGTAACTGGTTCTCAAACATGAGCCTGCCAATTGTCACCCAGCATCCTCACCTTGGGAGCCACCAAGTTCCTGCAAGACCTCTGCTAATTCTATGATTGTGCCCTTACGATCTGAAATGTGTAGCAGAGTGCATATTGGCTATGCATATTGCCTTTTAGGAGACATGGATATTTCGTGGACAAAAATTTACTCTCTAAGAGGAAAAAAGGCCAGACTTTGTATTATCTCTGTATCTGTTTCTTTAAAATCCAACGACTAGGTAGCTACAGCCCCAACATGATGTCATATGCAGAACATCCAGCTACAGTCTAATGGCTGGGAGAGATTATTCTCCCCTATTGTAAATCTACAACAGTCTGTCATGCAAGCATTTATACAGCTTCCTCTATATTCCTCTAACCCCGCCTTAAGAATTGTGGAGCAGAATTTTCACTGCTGGCCGACTTCCCACCAACCTTCAGATTTCTTCACAATGGAATTCAAGGCCAGGGAGCTCTTCTCTTTATTGACTGAATGGCTCAGCTCAGCTCCTGGTGGTGCCAATTAAGCTCAGCGGGGGACACAAGCAGCAGCTGTCAAAGACTTGTTGTCGTTTCCCCCCCCTCCATGCACCAGTAATGGTGGAAATGTTTTGTTCTCTGCAACATGGGAAGCAACGGACCCTTCACCCTTTCAATAGGAATTCTTGGCTCACATACTGTAGTATGATTTATACTTTTCTGTTACTGGAATAGTAAATGCCAAAAATATTTGTCCAGATTTGGATACATTCAATGCTCCTACTGCTTTTTAAGCAAGTGACATCATTTCAGCTGATGCTTGCTCAAATTATTTATCCACTCCTTTGTCTCTTATTTTTTCTTGTGACACATTCGAAGAATATCCCCAGCTTCAATATTCCAGGTGTCTTTAATACATTGAATACTTATTGGGAGAAGTCAAAAGATAATGGGGTTAAATATGATGAATATTGATCTATCCATATATACCCATGCAAACTAGTATATAACAGCAGGGTGTGCACCATTGATTCCATTTCCAAGTGCCTCCTGTGTTCTCCACCCATGAACATCATATAGTCTATGCAACATACCTAAATCTGAAATCTTTAAAGGTAGACTTTTCATTGTTTTCTGAGCTGAGGGTCAACACCTAGTGTATTGAGAGCCATATTACAAAAAAAAATCAAGATAAAAATGCAAGTAGGACCAGGAGAAAACCAAACTTAGTTATCTGTTAATTTAAATATAACTAAACTTACATATAGCAAATAGGCCATTTATTTAACAATTTACTTCTTTTTTGTGGGCTTTCAGGACAGTTCCCAAGTTCACCCCAATTTAAAGAGAATAATACAGATTGTATTTCCAAAAATTAAAAGAACAGCATTCAAATATTAAAACAAAGATGTATTTTGAAATTCTAGAAGTCTAGCTGTGAAGATTTCTGGTTTTCACCCAGATAAAATATAACTGTTGAGGTGGGCAGAATACTTTAATTGTAGATAATAATTCATTCCAGTAAATAGATTAGCTTGAACATGTTAACATTCAATACATTCTTCCCACAAGCTTTTAGCTCCCTCTGGAGACGCCTCATCAAACACACAGGGGAAATTTTAAAAAATACAAAATGACAGCAGAATTAATAAGCAGCATTTTAAACACAGGCTTAATTGAGAAGAACAAATTAAAAATGAGGTGGCGGTAGTTTTGCCACCTGCCTAACTCTCCTTTGTGAAAGCATTAAGATTTTTGCAAACTGTTTGTTCATTAGTTTGTGTGCTAATTGGACAACTAGGGCAAATCTGACTTTTTATATCTAAATGTAATACATAAAGGCACTGTTATTTAGGAATATGCTGCATATCAGAACATTTTGTATGATGTCAAAGCAGGGCTCGCCTGCTAGAGTGAGACAGTGGCCTCTGATGGCAAATGCTTGATGATATGGGGAGGGGAAATGAAGCAGGATAATAATTCAGAAATGGTGGCCACTTCTGGTATTGTACTATGTGACCTAGGAATAGAGTGGCATGCCCTCCTTCCCTAACCCAAGCTCGGGAGGTCTTCAAAAAATAAGTGTGCAATGAATGCCCAGGGTGAGGGATGGTGAGACTAGGTGGGGTGGAAAGTAGGCCCAGGCCTGCAAAAACCCAAAGGGGCAGGAAGTGGAGCACAGGGTACCTCAGAGGACATGGCCTGTGCTAGGCCTCCTAGGGTTTCCCCTGGAGCCCCTAAGGCACCCATGCTCCGCTTAATGACCTGCACATTTGTTTAACAATGTGATCAGCTGTTAACGACTTCTTTCACTTAGTTGCTGTCACAACTTCCAACTGTAATGAGTCATGGATTATCTGTGCTAGGCTGCCTAAGCTAGGTTGCTTTTCAGATACAGAGATAGATATTCCTCCCCTTGCCAGTATCAAAGATCCAAGGACCAGCCCAGAATCTTCTAACCATTCTACAGAAAGGGAAATAGGGAATAGCTTCATCTCAAGCAACAATATGTTTCCAGTCAGCCTTTTCTGAGAGGCCTGAGATACCAAAGATTATGGAGTCTCAGCACTAAGAATGGAACTCAAAAGAGCTGAGAGGGATCAGGCTGCACAGCAGGTGATTTGCAGGCCAGGTGGACCAAGCTGTGTTCTAGGAAGGAAAATTAAGAAATCTCCTATCTGAGGGTAATGTAAATGAATCTACAATGTACTTTAAATATAAAGATACATTCACATTTTTTTCTCAGCACTGAATGGGCTCAAATGCTTGCTTTGTTGATTCGAGGCTTGGGAACAGCTGAAAATGAAAGTATTTATAATATATCAAAAAGTCTGTTGGTCCTGGTTTCTACAATAAAGCTTTTACATTCTTCTTGCTAGGTTAGACTTGTGGACAATTATTAACAATACATTTAAAAGAGGAAGAGAAATAATGCAAATTAAAATGCAGGAAAATCCGTGTTAGTTATTCAGTGCAACAATACTACAAAACTCATATTACAAGTATGACAAAGTCCATCCTATGTGGCTCTCATATCTTTGAAATTCAAAAGAGGGAAAACTGTTTTACGAATAGTCAACAGAAACAGGGAAGCAAAATTTTAAAAAAGGATTAAGTGGCTTTCCCACGTCTTCTCTTATATCAAAGCAATTTCCTTAAAAGTAATCATAATCAAGTCATGAGACTAGGTGGACATTACAGGTAGTTCTCGACTTGGAAACGTTTTTTTAGCAACTGAAGTTACAACGGCACTAAAAAAAGTGACTTACAACTTGTCCTCACATTTATGACTGTTGTAGCCATGGTCATGTGAACAAAATTTGGGTGTTTGGCAACCATATCTATTTATGACAGTTGCAGAATCCCAGCTGATCACCATTTGTGATCTTCCCAGCCAAATCCCAACAAGCACACTCAATGGGAGAAGCTGGGTTCAGTTAACAACTTGTGCGATTCACTTAATACTTGAAGTGATTGGCTTAACATCCGTAGCACAAAGGTTGTAAAATTGGCATAAGTGAAAGTTAAACATAAATGAAATTGTTTATGGAAGAATGTAGCTAAATGAGTAATTTTAGTCAGGTTATATCTTACTGGACTGAATTTTCTTTTTCCAGTTCTGGTATTTTTTTGATGAAGAAGAGTCACGAAGAGTGTGCGCTCGTTGTAATGCTAGAGGGGAAAAATAGGAAAAAATAGCTACAAAAGGCATTTGTTAAAACACAGGAAGTTCCAAATCTTAACAGTAAGCACAATGAGATTTTAAATTTGAATTTGTTTTTCTTGGATATCTGTTTTGGAGTTATTCCATAACTGGAGAGTAAAATTTGACATCCTACCCCTCCTTATCATCCATATTTGACAAAACCAGTTGCAGTTCATAGCAATAAAAATTTAGTCAAACCATCTTCACAGAACAGTTCGCTCAAGAAGTTTACATTTCAAGTAGAAGAGTTCAAAAATTACAATTTTTCTAAGGCAATGACGCCTAATCATTTCAATATTTAAATATTTATCAATATTCATTGATAAATATTTAAATATAGACCACTAGATGGCACTGTTCTCCAATCTGTTTTTCACTTAGAAAGGCCATGGCTCAGCTGTTTAACCCTCAATTTATTCCATTTTTGCAGAATGTTGTAGCACAAGAACTCATTTATGCCCAACCATTTCTATATCTCTATTGTTTCTTTTGTCTGCAGTTTTTTTTCCCACTCCAAAATAAGGGAGAAAATGAAACATTTGTTTTTCATTGGTGAAGTTACATAATTCTCACAACTGACTTCAAGGAAAAAGTTAATCCTGTTGATCAAGCAAACAATGACAGTGCGAAACACAGCAATGTGGGAGATAAAAAGCTGAGGATAAGGGAGGCCCCAAAGGGGAAAGTACGTTATGTACCAGGGAACCTTATGGATCACTTTGGAAAAAAGCAGTGTGGAAGCTGAAGGGGGGGGGGGTTATGACTCTTTCTCTGTGTGTGTGTGTGTGTATGTGTAAAACATAATGTGTAAGAGAGGGAAGATATATGGCAGTTACTCCATGGGAGTGACTTCAGTTAGATCAGTGGTTCTCAACCTTTTAAATGCCGCGACCCCAACCGGTCGTAAGTCGAGGACTAAACTGGTTGTAGGTCGAGGACTAAACCAGTCGTAAGTCGAGGACTAAACCAGTTGTAAGTCGAGGACTACCCAACCGGTCATAGGTTGAGGACTTTCCCTGCCTGGGAGCGCCGCACATGCGTGGTTCCGCCCCCTGCGCCGGCCGAGGCGTATCTGGCAAGCAGCAGAGACGGAGCAGGCTGACCACCAGCTGGCCCAGCCCAAGGTAGGTAAGGCACCCGCCGGAAAAGGAAAAAAATGGCGGACAAAAAAAATGGCGGACAGCCTTGCTTGGCGACCCCCATGAAATGGTCGATCGACCCCAAATGGGGTCCCGACCCACAGGTTGAGAACCACTGAGTTAGATACTTTGCATTTCATTGCTGTGCATTTCAAAAGCTTTCCTTTGAAAAGAGAAATTTAATTTGTACAGATTCTTGGCTGCAGTATGGGTTGTCCTCAACTTACAACAGTTCACTTAGTGACCAAAGTTGTAACGGCACTGAAAAAAGTGACTTACGACCATTTTTCAACTTTTACAACTTTCTGACAAGCAAAGTCAATGGAGAAACCAGATTCACTTAACAACCTTGTTACTAGTTTAACAACTTCAGTGATTGAGTTAACAAATGTGGCAAGAAAAGTTGTAAAATGGAGCAAAACCCACTTAACAAATTTCTCACTTAGCAACATAAATTTTGGGCTCAATTGTGGTCTAAGTCAAGGGCTACCTGCACTAGGATTAAAAGAAGAGGGCATTAAAATATATTTTCTATGGTATCTATTAAAATACATAAACCATAGATTTAATCAAGCTATTGTTTTACAGTTCTATTGATTATGGAATGGGCAGAGCAAACAATCAATTTCTTCTCCCTGAGCAATTCTACATTGCAGGAAACTCTTTTGAGAAGCCTGTAGCTCCAGAGAGCAGGTCAAGTTAAAAAGGCCAGGCAACTTGAAACAAAATAAAGTTCTATTATTTTAGAAAGCATGTGACAAAATTTGGATGTATGGAAAGCATTCCTTTTCAGAGTTCTATCAGTAGTATTTTATATAATGGTACATTTTATAAATATATCAACTCAATTGTCTGCATTATTGTTATATTGGATTCAGCTGTTAAGAGGTATTTTACGATGCTATTCTGCATAAAAATTCATGACCTGGAGTCTACCTTTGGCTTAATTATCTAATGCTAAAATGAACTGAGAGATGATAGCTAAAAAGCACTTGAGAAAATAGAGAACCCAGCATCCACAAGTGAATTTGTTTAATTCAACTGCATTTTTTTCTTTTTTGATCCTGTAATCCCTTGAGTGGGGATGGAGTCAGGGTGACTGAAAGGAACTGAGCATTTAGTGGTCGGATGCCCTTCCTGATGCGTACACAGAGTTCACAGCAGATATTTTCTCTTTGCACCCTGATAAAGAAACATCTGTCTCTACCTAGGATTGCATTCTCAACCTTCCAAGTGGGAGGTGAGCCTCTTCAACTCCAGACCTCTGTGCTGCTCAATTCAACTGCCTTCACATCTTCTGAACCTCATAACACTTTATCAATGGGTATGTCTTGAATTGTTTCAGTGCCTTTTGGTGAAATCAGGGAGATATAGTGCTTATAGAAACTTACCATTAGCAGCTTTGGATTTTTCAAGGCAATCCTTTCCCTTCTCCAAATTTGTGGCAAACAGCGGAGATCTTTTTGAAGATGGGAGGCAATTCCAGATGGGCTCAGGCAATGACAACATCTCTTCTGAGGATGCAGAAATGGCTGAATTGCCAGAAAGATCACATTCTAGTTCTGAACTAGGAATCCAAGAGTAGAAAAATCTGGTTGTCTTAAACACGTCCAGCAAGTGGTACAAAACAACTAATCAACCATTCACATAGGTACAGTATCTTTCCCTCAGTTATGTAATAAGCATCGTTGGTGGACTTTGCTACATTTTTTCTTTTGACAGGTGTTCTATTTCTGGACATGTGCCCTCCAGATGTGTTGGATTACAACCATCATAACTCTCAGCCAACAAAAATGAAAGAAAATAACACCTCCTCAAGTCACATTACTGAAAGCCTATCAAGTTATTGACGGTTCTTCAAAAAGAAAGAAATGCTAATCATGGAACTGGAAGGACAAAAGTTCAGGAAACTCAGTGCAAAAGAAACCAAGAAATATATACTGTATATTTGTATTCTACAAGCTGCTTTCTTGTAAACTTCAATAGCTGTTACTTACTGTAATTTTTACTGTTCTTGTCAAAACTAATCTGGATTTAATCCCCCACCCCACCCTGTATTACTCAGACTGCGTGGGATGCAAAGATTTACTGCCAGTGAATCATATGCCCACAAAAGCTTCGTGCAAGCTGCAAGACTTCAGTGTTCCTGGTTCATCATTCTTTCTTCTCTCATATTTCTATTTACTCTGACAAGTGAGTTCTATCATTTCTGGCTCTGGCTCATTCAAGGAAGTAAATTTGCATCAGTAACCAATACCTGCTTCCATCACTGGTTACTAGGACTTGGACTGCCATAGGTTTGTGACGAGCTTTCTCTTCTTCTGGGGTACATCTGACCAATGTCCATTCAGAAGAGGGCAAGGAGCTTCTCAAATCAAGATGGGGAATATTCTTGCACTTCTTTGGAGAGATGGATTCATCTACTGGAGAGTTGTAATACTCTAGAAAAAAAACAAAGAACATGAAAACTTGCCCCATTCTTCAATTTAGAACAATAACATTGTTCATTCAGGATGCCTATAATGTGGAAAAGTCAAGCCAACCATCTTTTAAACACAGTTTATCTATATATGAAGATATGCTCAAAATTAACTTCTATGTCCATTGTTCAAAAATATCCTTCCTTCAATATGAAGGATGTACTTCAATATGTCCAATGATAAATATTTTGCTGGAGCAACTGGAGAAAAATAGTTGTCCTCACTTTCCTTCGATTTTCTCATGTAGCAGAGAACTGAAAGGTAACAACCAGTAGACAACCTATGCCTGAATTGGGGTCCTGGGTCCTGCTGCTATTGCTTCTAGGAACATTGACCAAACATTCCATTCTTCCTGACTGTAGCCTTGTCTAATGTTCTCCACTTGATCTGCTTCTGTTACCAGGACCTGCAGGATTATCTGCTTCAAACAGACTCTACCTGTCCAGTTTGGATATTCTGTGTGTGGATGCTGATTTGTGGAAGAAGAGCCAGAAATCAGTACTTCTCCCTTCTGGTCCTTAAACTCAGGAACAGCTTTCTTCTGCAAATGTTTCATATATCTTCCCTCCCAGTATTTAAGAAGTTAGTAAAAACACAACTATTTAGAAGAGCCTTCAATAGCATGTTCGGTTGGGAGATACCCAATGCAATTATTAATTAATTAATTAATTATGAGATACCCAATAACAAGATTAATTTTAATTATGAGTATTTTTACACTTTCATTATATTGTTGCATTTTGAAAGTTTATGATGTAAGACTCAAAGAGACCCTTGGGATTGTGGTGATACAAAAACAAACAAACAAACCAGGTCTCTCACCTAAAGACATACCCCTTGTTTCACACAGATCTGACTCTAGTTTCTTTTCTGGTTCTCCCATCAACTTTTCTAAGAAAAGAACCAGAAATAGAAATTGGCTCTGGAAGGCTGTCTCTGAACCAGAGGAGTTCACCATAAAAAACAGTTTAAGTTCAGAAGTTGCCTTGGCCATGAATTTCCACTCCCTGCAGTCAGAAAGGTCAACATGCATGGCCCTCTATTGTCCCTGATGGGAACAACAGGGATCTGGATGGATGGCACTGGTCCAGATCCACTTCAACTTCACATTTTGAGAGAAACTACTGGCAATCTTACAAGATGTAATCTTTATGCCCAGACAGTCAACACTCTAGCATACAATTCATGGATACTTTATTTTTTTTTAAATGAACCACATCTAGCAACTTCTCATGAAGCAACATCAACCTATGTTTGAGTGCTTCATCATTGAATGTGTTGGTGCCTATAGCAGCAGCTTCCCTTCATTTTCACCCTACTACCAGCAGTCCATAATGAATAGCAATTATACACCACTTCATAGTGCTTTTCATCCCTCTCTAAGCAGTTTACAGAGTCAGCAACAATCTGGGTGCTCATTTTACTAACCTCGGAAGGATGGAAGGCTGAGTCAACCTTGAGCCAGTGAGGATCGAACCTCTGGCAGTGAGCCTGCAATACTGCATTCTAACCACTGTGGCACCATGGTGCTTAGAAGTAGAGATGAGAAGTACTTACTCCTTACATTCTCCTCCTTGACTGGATTAAGTACCTAAGATGAAGGTTGAAGCTTGCTGTTTACAATGTGATGGCCTAGAAACTGGCAGTCCATGAGGTCTGGTCTGCTTAGGCATAGAACCCCAGCTGAACTCAAATTACAAGGTTATTGTTGTGGTGGAAATAGGCAGCGCAAAGAACTCTGCTGCCCTATTGAGAATGGAGCATGGGAGGTTCCAATAGTCAGGAGAAGCCAGATGGAGAAGCCCCCAAACTTCATTTTTTCCCACCAGCTGAATGGCTGGTTTCTAAAGTCATCACTTGCATGATAGCACATGTTACATCTCATCCTTTTGAGATGTATGCCATATGCCAACGGATGCCTCTTTGACCCATTGCAAGGAAAAGAGCTGCCTCGCCACTACAGTACAGTATCTGATGCTGCCAGAAAAGGAAAAGATACCGAGAAAAAGCCTAAACAGCTACTTGAATATCCTTGACATTGAAAGATGCGGAAGTTCCTCATGTCCCATCCCTGCAATTGTGCCTGCAGTGGTGACAGAAGGCATGGCAGGGGTCTGGTCCTTTTGAAGGGCTCCTATACTTGCTCATGCTCCTTTGATAGTCTGCTGCTCTGCCTGGATCTTCACAACCATCACAGGCCACAAATTAAGATTTAGGAAAAAGCAGTTCATCCTGACCCTTGCCTTTAGCCCTACAGTGTTGCCAAGAGGAGGGACTTTATTGCCTGATATATCTACACCTTGAATTTTGCATGAATTAATAACTAAAACCTTTGATGGGAATAGTCAACCCTGAGGGCCTCTAACTCCTTTGTGGCTTTATAGATTACCTTCTCCATGGAAATGTTTCCCTCTAGAGATTTGGTACAGCTTGCACAAAACCACTTGCTGAGTGTCTAAAACATGCCAAGAATGACCATTGCTGCAATGTGCTATGCAACATTTTATTTTGTGTAAAACAGTTTTAAGCAAAACAAAAAGCAATTGTCTTGCAGTCTCCTTGAATAGCTTTCCTATTAGTCAGACTTTGGGGGCTTCTTAACAGAAAAAAAATGCAGAGGATCACACATTTAGATGAGGTTATTTCCACTGAAATCAGCAGAACTAAAACGGCATTAAGTCCAAATTCTTCAATTTACTCTTCCTTCAGCACGTTTATTCAGGGTTTTCTGCACCTTAAAGCAGACTAACTAGCAGAATCTCTGTATGGACTTGTATGTCAGTCCCAGAAGCCCTCTTTTATTTCAGAAGCTCTCTTTTACTTTTTTTATTTTTTCAACCAAAATATGATTTCCACATGTTTGAAAGTTTAAGTATGAAATACCAAAAATATTAAGGAAATCCTATAATTATAAATATCTATAATTTATTCCATGTTGGTGATGATATGGAAGTGATTTACCATAGCCTCCTTCCAGAAAGTTTTTTCCCCCAATATTTCAGTCTACTCTTAGTCCTAGAATTTCTTGATTGTCTCCCATCCAGTTACTTGCCAGCATAACACTCCTTAGCTTTATGAAAGCAATCAAGGCCAGTTAAATGGCTAAATTTTAATTACTGGGGATCCTGATTTGAGAGATCGTGATCAGCATATACCCAGCTTTAGAAGTCCAGGTAGAAACCCTTTTGCTTTCTGAAGACAAGCTGGGTGTAACAAAATGATGAGTTTTTTTAAAGCAAGGAATTTCCAGAGTGTAATGCCTCATCTCTATCTCCCAGGTAGGCTGGTTTGTTTAAAAACCTTAAATTCCTTCTCATCTGCAAATATATTATTCTGGTTTTGTTTTGTTTTTACTTTTTAATACTTTTCTTTTCTATCTGGGAGTTCTCTAAAACAGAGAGGACTAAAAGAGTTTAAAGCAAACATTCAGGTTTGTGCTGGGGCTTCTCACAGGAGGAAGGAGGCATTTTATCTTTGAGTTTGGCTCACTCACACAACAACACTAGTGGGACATGATCTCATCTGGGGTTGCGATTCAGGGACTTCCTTTCCCATAATTACAGGCATCTGAAGCCGAGCATTGTGCTGCCAGATACCACACAGAGTTACAGTGTTTAGTTAGAAGATTGTTATGTATGGATCAAAGATTACTTTTTAGCTTTTTAAAAATATTTACTTGTAGATAATCTAACATGCTGGCTTACCGTATCAAAAAATATCCTTAGGGTATGGTTAAAAAAAATAAGATGATTGATTACAAGGGTGCAATCAAAGTTCTGCCTATTATGTGTGACATATATAACAAAATAGGCAGAGTTTCAATGGTGCCATTGTGGCCACCATTTTGACTTTTATCTTTTTCTTGTAACAACACCCTGTGGACACTCCTCATATTCTATTACATGAAAGACTTTAATCAAAATAATACAGTCTCCTTCCAAATTCTCCTAAACTCCAGTCCTATTTCTACTTTCAAATTTACTAAAATTGAAACAGTTTGGGAGATGTTAGCCCAGGTGTGGACCTATCACTGTGGCCGTGAGTGCATGCCAAAAAAACCTTCTCCAAGATCAGCTGAGCAAGATGCAACATGCTGAAAGTTTCACCCTACTAAGAACATCTTCAGTAATGCTTTAGAGCAGAAATGTCAAACTCACGACGTCACGTGACGTCGCGCAATGTATCGGAGCTTTTTCACTATTGCCGGCAATGGGGTGGGTGTGGCTCCGGTATGATGAAACCAGCCCACGGGCCGGCAGTTTGACACCCCTGCTTTAGAGGCCTCGAAGCTTTAAAGTGCTTAGCTTTGTATCAGAACACACAATCCATACATCAAAGATAGACCCAGAGCAGAAAACCAACAGGCTGTACAATGGAGCTCGAGACAGAGCTCAGATGTGGAGCAACTTGAGTGGTTGTCAAAGCCTATCATTGGTGCTTTCTTCATACCCTCTGTGAGTGCCATTCTTTCAGCTGGCATATGATAGCTTGGTTTGGAAAAAGATGCTCAGCTCCCAAAAGAAATTTGTGGCAAGGCCACCTATGAAGAACTGCAGTCATGCTCCAGATCCAGGCTGGGCTGACCATAGTTTGTCCTGGCAATTGTTGTCCCCTAATGCTGGCGACTAACTTCTATTGACGGATAGGCTGTGATCACAACAGACCTCAGTCCAGTTATTCTAGCTTTATTTTCAGTAATCTTACACAGCCTTCTTGTTGCAGGTACTGAAAAAGACAGCAGGTAGAAAAACCCTAAACAACTTGCATATTTATGTTACTCCCCAAAAGATAGACAAGGGTTGGGGAAACAGATCAAACCTGAAAGTCAAAAACTCACAGCAACAGAAGGGCTTTTCAAGAAAGCAACAGTTTTCTCCTACAATAACAATTACACATCTTTAGCGCCATTGCCAAGCAGTAAAATGGAATGATTGTAAACCAGAAACAATTAAGA